GATTGAGTGGTTTCTGAGTGGTTCCTCTAAGAGAGACAGAAGAACCAGAACCAGAGGGATGGAGAAAGAGACTTCACTATGAAGGAAATGCTAGGGAAGACCACTGTGTGAACGTTAACTGTTCAATCAAAAAGAAAGAGAGGTACTTCTTGTGCTCTTACATTAATTAGAAAATATTTTTTAATTTGCCAAGACAATCTTTCTTTAAATACATGTTTGCAGTATGTAACAATTATATTTATCGTGGGGAGTTTGAAAGTGCACATAACACATCTTAATTCTTATTGTTTGTCCCCTGCTCCCTCCAACTATGCTTTCATTTCATTTGAAAAAGAGCCCTCTACTTTCTGATTTCTTTTATTTTGCTCTTTATTTGTACTTGGATTTATCATATAAGAGAAAAAATGTTTTATTTAGGGCTTTTTTTTTTTTTTTTTTTTTTTTACTTTTTGGTACTGGGAATTGACGTCAGGACCTCATGTTGTATTTAAACTTGTGTGTCTGATTTGTTTCACTTACCTCTAGGGTCTTGAGGAGCATCCATTTACCTACACATGTCGCAGAGTTGTCCTTCTTTATGGCAGAGTAGTGCTGCATGGTCTATGAATATCACATTTCCTTTCTCCGCTCATCTGTGGATCTGAGGCTAATTCCAAGATAGATCTACTGTAAACTGTGCTGCTATAAGTCATGAGAAGGCATTTATCATTGTAATATTGCCAAAATAATCATTAACTCAGTTTGCTATGAACACATAAAGCTATTGTAAAGTAAATCTTAAAGATCAGAATTTTTACATTTAAAATTACAAGACTGGAAATTTCTGTAGTCAGTTCTCATTATTTCAAGAAGCTATATTCTTTAAATTTGTCTGCAAACACTGAATTAGTGACTACTGAACCATCCCTTTTAGGGGAAATACAAAGTAAAATTCCCAAAAATTTATACCACAAAATATTTATCAAACACTCAATATGTAAGCTTGTTATATACAATATAGCATAATATAATATATATGTTGAATATTGAATTCATGATTAGTAGTATTCATGCCTCAATGATGCTTAACTAACACACAAATATTAAATGCATCACAGCTATCTAGGAATGTTACATGACATTTCCATACTGTAATTAGGGCTATTTTACAGCAAAATCACCAAAAAGCACAAAAATGAGTTGGGGCGGGAGGGGGGGGGCAAGGCAGGGACCATCCAGATAGCTCAGCAGATTAGAGCTCCTGCTGAGGCAGATGCAGAGACCTAGGTTTGATCCTTGGCTAGTTGTGCTGGTCCCACCCCCAGGGCATGCAGAGATGGTGACTGACACTGGGAATGGTGTCATGCACCTGCAATCCCAGTGCTTGGGAGACTGAACACAGGAGGATCACTATGAGTCCGATCCATGTAGTAAGACCCTGGAGACCCTGGAAACCCTGTATACCGTGTACTAAATACATTTAAAAAAAGAAAAAGGCAAGGCAGACTAGCCCCTCAGTGGGAACACTCAGTACTTTTGTGACTCAAAAGTACTCTTCACGTGACCACAAATAACAGTGAAGTCACCACAGTATTGACTACTGGAGTTACAAGTAAATTTTAGAAAGTAATCCAATGTGAAATTATAGACTATACCAATGTATATAATAAGTATCAACTGTGTTTTATTTTAAAAATAATTCAAATAATGACTGGCCAGATAGCTCAGTGGACTAATGTGCCTGCTTAGGCAGAGCACAGTGGCTGAGGTTCGATCCCTGGCTTGCTGTACTGGCCCCATCCCTGGGGCACACTGAGACTGGGATTGAGACTGGGCATGGTGGTGCACACCTGTAATCCCAGTATTTGGGAGGCTGAAAACAGGAGGATCACTACAAGTCCAGTCTATGCAGTGAGACCCTGTAGACCCTGTACCAAATATATTTAAAAAATAATAATAATTCAAATAAAATTGATAGACTGATGAGTGCAATTGATACTAGTCTAAAAATACTTAGATTTTCTTCCAGATGTTGCAGATTTTTAAGAGTACATAGAATCAACTAAGGCCCTATAAATTTCTTCTAAGATATTTTAAAGAAAAACATTCTCTATACAACTATAATGCTAAAAGAAAGCTCAGGATATGGGTTCAATCTCTGCTACTTACCTTCAGGCTCCTGCAGAGTTCAGTAGGTAAACACAGCTTAGGCAGTTAAGTATTTTCAGGAGCTGTCCAATAATACCACTTTTTTAAGAAATTGATTGAGACTTTCAGGAATCAATTCAGTACTTTAGGTATGTATTCTTTACTATCTTTCTGCTTGCCAGTATTGTTTCATAGTTAAGAGGATACCTGGTAGTTTTTTATATTGGTCTTCTGAATAACTTTAATTTCAGTTTTTCCTGTGCAGTACTTCTACAAAACTTCTGAACCTGCACCTTTCTTCTAATTGGCAGATGGCTGCTAAGCTTATGAACAGTGGCGTAAGGATGAACGCCATTTGCCCAGGTTTTGTCAACACACCCATCCTCCAGTCCATTGAGAAAGAAGAAAACATGGGACAGTACATAGAATATACAGGTCATATCAAGGATATGATGAAGTGTTATGGAATTCTGGAGTAAGTAAGACTGCACTATCTTCTTTTTCATAGCAGAGTAAAGCACTGTCTAGAAAAGCAAGAAAAAAGGAAACAGTAAGTTTTTAAATATGAGAAACTACTGCAAAGTTCCAAGTCTGCTGGGGCAAATTATCTGAAAGATAAAACCTTGCTGGACTAATACATTGAATATGTTTACACATTATAAATTATATTTGCAATACAGACAATATCTTTTACAGAATCAGATGTCTTTTTCTAAAAAAAAAAAAAATGAGAGTTTTTGCAGTAGGGGAGATTGAACGCAGGGCCTCGTGCATGCCACACAGGCACTCTACCTTGGAGCTATAGCCCTCGCCTTTAAAAAATGAGTTTTAATTACTTTTGAGAAAACTGTATTTTCTCTGACCAAATTACAAGCAATATTCATCTAGAACTTTTACTATTTTGTGTGGTCCCATACTTCTACCACTGTCGTAAAATGAATACTGTACACACAAGTGCACGCACGCACACGCACACGCACACGCGCACACACACACTCCCCACAGGCGAGTTGGATCTGAGCACTGTTGAGGCTTTCACAACACAGAATCACAGTGATAAGGTCGAATGAATCAAACCTAGAATCAAGTTCATGCTCTAGCACTGACTTTAAAAAGAACAGACTCATTTATTTATTTATTTATTTTTTATTTATTTTTTATTTTTTTATTTTTTTGGTGGAACCGGGGATTCAACTCAGGCCCTTGCGCTTGCCAGGGAAGCACTTATTTACTGAGCTATCTTCCCAACCCCGACTCTTATATATTCAAAAAACTCTTTAAAAAAAAAGATGTTATATGACGTATACCTCAAATAATAATTGATTAAAAATTAAGATATTTAATAAATGCTTTCTGTAATTCATATTTCTTTTCCCATAATAATTCCGGTAATTCTAAAATCTATTGATTTGACAAAGATGAGAAAACAATCATTTTCTCAGTGAAAACAGTAACTATAAAAACTTAAATTCAAAATGATGATCAGGCATGAAAATTTAACACTACACTTATATAATTTAGGTTCTAGTTGAATAGAAGAAGTTAAAAATAGCTCAATGACAAATATTTTCCTGTTACATGTAAGTTCTTCAGATTATAATTGGAGGTGATAATATGTCTCATTATTTATTTTCAAAATCCCAATGTTTCCTTCATTTCCAGTCCATCAATGATTGCCAGTGGATTAATAACACTTATTGAAGATGACGATTTGAATGGTGCCATTATGAAGATCACAATGTCTAAAGGAATTCACTTCCAAGATTATGATTCAGCTCCATCCTATTCCCCAGCTCCATCTTAGATACCAGCAATAACCGAAAATAAATCCAAATGACATACTCAAATCATATTTTAAATGTATCTTTTTAAATGAATGATACAGCCTAAAGCTTTCCTTCACACAGCTGACGTTATCTTTTCTGATTAGATAAGTTATCAAAAGTACAATGCAAACAAAGCAATATTATTGTAATATGTACGATCTAGTCAATGATTAAAACAAAATACATTTAAAGTATATTGCACCTTCCAGAAAATATATTTAAATCTGTGATTCATGAATATTAACATCTTTTAGAAAATCATTTTAAAGGAGATACTTGAATTATTATTTAAATCATAACAGATGTAAAAAAAGAAAAGAACATTGTTTCTAGCTTTGCAATTCAAAGGAGGAAAGCTACTGAACACTGACAAATGTTTAAGAATGATAATCTTTACATTGATACCATCCTTAAACTGAACTCTGTAAAGAGGTGACATAGCTTGGGATTAGTAGTTAAGCAAAAAATTGCTGTGTGACTATATTCCAATGAAAAATCTAACGCATAAAAAATAACAGAAAGAGATTGTCGATTCCAAGTTCAGCCTCCAATCGTAAAAGACCTTTTTTTCTCTCTTTTTTTAATGTTAAGAACTTTATCTCCAAATGTCTCAGGAATAAAGCTTTAACAGTTATAGAACAAAAAGGATTGTTAGTCCTCCTGCCAGTTTATATGTAATATGTTCATTAAAAATGCAAATGTTATAATTTTTCTTTGGTTGACAATATTTTTATTTTATGAGTATTATGCAAAATATGTGCTTCATCTTGGCATATTTGTACATGCATATTACATACTTCGATTATTTTTACTCCCATTGCTGTTCTTTCCCTTTCCTTCTCCTTCCCCCAATCTGTTTCCTCTTCTCTAATAATCTCTTCTCTACTTTTCTCTCATCTCTATTTTTTCAGATATGAGAGAAAAATGTGTGATATGTGACTTTTTGAGTCTGGTTAATTTTGCTTAATGTAATGTTTTTAAAGAATTTTTTTCTATATTGATTTGTACTGATTTTGAAATGTATCTATATTTCAATAAAACTCCTTTACTGTAATCTCAATAGGTTGCTTCTTATTTTATATGTAGCTTCTCAGTTGATGAAACTGATTTTCCCACACAATCACAATGGACAGTATGAGTTTATCAGATGTGACCCTGTAGTAGGTACAGGAGCAACTTTAGTTGCTCAAGTGACTACACTGTCTCTCAGATCACCTCCCATGCCTCTTAATCCCTTCATTCATTACTCATTGAAAATAAGACACGACCATCCCTTTCTGGCCCTGATTTCGCCTCTTTCACTGCTCTCCTTTCTGGTTTCAGTATAGTCTCATGGTCTCTTGAAACCTTGAACAGGCCCATTGTCTCCACCATTGTGGCCTGTCTTCTCTCTCTTTCTTCTGCCTAGATGGCTCTCTTTCTACGTATGGTCAAGAGGAGCTTGACACAATTGACCACTAGGAAGAATGTATGCAGCGTGTTAATTATTGAAACTGTCCTACCAACTTGGTTTGAAACTGTCTCATTGCTACTTGTTTCTCAATGAAATTATGGGAAAAAAAGACACAGGACATATGGACTACTGGACTCTTTTGGAATATTTTGCTAAGTTCACACACCTATAATATTTAAATGATGGAACTAAACAACAAAACAGGATATAGATGAATGTCCATTTTGTATCTGTGTATTCAAAATGGTTAGGATAGATATATAGCTACATTCTCTTAATTCAAGGAATAGAGAGATTGTTTCTAATTGTGTTTGTAAATAGGATATCATGTCTGCATCTTGTACAACAAATAACCACTAGGAAAGCAGTATGCAATGTGTTAATTATGGGAACTGTCCTACCAATTTGATTTGAACTGTCTCATTGCTATTTGTTTCTCAATAAAATTATGGAAAAAATAAAATGATGAACAAAAAAAGAAAATAAACAAATCCAAATTAAAACATGTAAAAAAAATGAGCTTGACACTAACAACCTTCTTGATTTGACTCCTTACTTCCACCATTTGGAATCAACACTTAGTTATTTGAGATGATCAAAGCACTATTATTTTCTTCTTAACTGATTCTCTTCAGTTTTCTCTTTCATTTTATTTTCTACTTGATTGTACTTTTTCTACTGTACTACAACATAATAGAAGCTCTTCAAGCTTTGTTTCTGCTCTTCCTCTAGGCCTAGCATTGAAAACAGTACAAGGACCTGATATATATCAAATATCATTTGAGTGAAATAAGTGTCTCTTAAGTAGCTAAATTATCCCACACTATCTTAAAGGAAATATAAATGTCCAAAACCTCAGAAGTTGGTATAATCTTTTCTTTGTATCAGTCAGGTGATTTCTGTGAAGTCCTATTTGAGTTTCAGAACCACATCATAAAATTCTTTTGGTAATCTAGGGTTTGGGTTTTGTTTTAAGAAGAAAGGAAAAAACAAGATTGTAAACATTTGGAATTGTAATAAGAAAGACAGAATAGATATGGATGTCTCCCAGGTATGGAATGATGAACAATTGGAAGTGAAAAGGATACAATATAATAGAGTATCAGAATTAAGATGTCCCAAGTTAAAATTCATTTGTCCTAGGTACAGAAAAGTCATTGATCATTGAGAAAGAATTTTTTTTATTAGCAATGAGACAGCTTCAAAACAGGTTAGCAGAACAGTTATAATAATTAATATATTACATATTGTTGTCTTTGTAGTAGTTGTTCAGAGTACAAGATGCAGACATGATATCTTATCTAGAGACTGGGGAAATAGCTCAGGAGAATAAGCACCTGCCTGGCAAGCGCAGGGTCTTAAGTTCAATCCCCAGTGTTCCAAAAAAAAGAAAAAGATATCTTGTCTAAACACTATTAGTATAACTCTTTCTTCTCATTGAACTAAGAGAAAGTAGCTGTATATCTATCCTATATATATATATATATATATATATATATATATGCATGTATATAAATATATATATATATCACAAATATAAAAAGTAAAACCATATTAATATGCTGAGCTGTAAAAGGCTCAAGTCAACAACATCTGACATTGCCAGTTCTGTTGATCATTGAGATGATTGAGGATATCAGCCGCCTATGAGGGTCATGTGCATAGTGTTTCTGTATAATCAAAATTAGAACTTATGGAGCTTGAAAGCTCTATTGACACTACTTTTTGTTGCTGTTCTTTATGTATTTAGCACAGAATCTGCAGGGTCTCACTACACAGATTGGACTCATAGTGATCCTCCTGTTTTCAACTTCCCATGCACTTTGGATTTTAGGTGGGCCCCACCATGCCCATCTGACCCGACTTCTTTACTGTTTAGTCTATATGGAGTACAGAGTATTCATGGTAATATCACACTAAATCATACGGTACCATTCTCATTTTTCCATTAGTTTACATCCTTCCTTTCCTTGATATCTATTGTCTCCAAACCACTGAATACCTGAAGTGTGTTGGTAGGCATGTGTGCAGAACTGTGTGCAGTCTACTATATTACTTCTTCTGGCCGATGTTTTGATCACATAGATGCTTAGCTCCAGCTTTTAGCTAGGACCTTTTAAAAGAAGTCACAATGGCCCCCATAAGGCTGGATAAATCCAAAGTTCATTTTATTCCGATTTTCTGGCAAAAGGCTCCTGAAATTGAAAGAGACTAATGCTCCATTCTTTCTATCTTCAGAGGTACGGATAGGTTTTTCGTTATATCTTCAATTCCATTGAATTGTGGTTTTTTAGAATTCTTATTCTTTAGTTATTAACAATCTTCTTGATTCAGCTTTGTTATTCATATGAAATAGGAATCTTTCCATTTCTTCTGCATTTCCCATGTTCTTAGAGTGCAGGTTCTCAAAGTAGGTATACATGATTTTCTGGATTTCTACAGGATCTGTCCTGATTTCACTCTTTCATTATCAATTGCATGAATTTCAGTCTTTTCTTATCTTTTTTGGATTAGATTGACTAAAGATTTGTCAATTTTATTTACACTTAGACCCAGTTCTAGCCCAGGCCCACTGAGTGTGTGGGAGATCTTCAGGCTACCCTGCGCCAGCTAGACATACTACTGGTCCCAGCCCAGGCGCAGCGTGGGTGAGATCCTCTTCCAAGCCCTTGGGACACCCCCCACCACTCTGCAGAACCTCCCCCACCCAGCCAACCGAGTAGGAATTTCAGCCACGTTCCAGGAACCACCAGACTGGATCCTATCCCAGGACTGGTGAGTGTGTGGGAGAGTTTCTGGCTACCCTGAGCTGGCGGGACCTACTACTGGTCCCAGTCCAGGCGAAGCATGGGTGAGACCCTCTCCCACCCCCTTGGGATGCCCCCCACCCCCCCGCAGCATCTCCCCAACACTGCCCGCTCAGTAGTAATTTCTGCTGCATTCTGGGAACCCCCAGACCCAGTCCTAGCCTAGGCCTGGTGAGTGTGAGGGAGAGCTGCCTCTCCCCCTACTCCAACTTGTCCCCTCCAGGTTCAGCTCAGGCTGGGCATACAGGCCTGGGATATAGCCCTGCAACTGCAATCCCTGCAGACAGTGTAAAGGATAGAACCACCCAGCTAGTCCAGGAGCAGAAAGGCTTGCCAGAGGGGCACAACGGGTTCACCCCCAAGGGCAACAGCAGAAAGGAGCTGAGCACAACAACAGGACCCAAGCCAGACACAGCTGGATAAATCCAAACCTTGTAGATCTGCACCTGAACTTCAGTAGGTG